TAACTCTCTCCATCTTAAATCTGCTCCTGGAGTATCTTGAAATTCTTGATCCTTTGTGCTTTCATAGAAACTTCAGAATTAGCTTATCAAGTTTCTAGAAAAACTCAGCTGGGATTTTTAATGCAATTGCTTTCATTGTAGGGGAGATTTGCCATCTTAACTCTAGAGTCTCTAAATACTTGAACATGGTATATTTTTCTTATTAGACATTCTTTGATGTCTTTTAATAATATTTTATGATTTTTTTCCCTTGAAGGAAAAAAATTTAAAATCATAAATTTACTCCTATGTAATTCATATTTTCAAAATGATATGGTGAATGGTATCTTTAAAAAAATCATTTTCTAACAGTTCATTTCTGCTGGAGAGAAATGCAATTCACTTTTGGATATTAATATTATATCCAGAATCATTATAAAGTCTTATTTTAAAATTTATATGTAAATTGTTTCTTCATTTTCAATCTTTTTATCTTTTTATTTGCTTTTACTGTCATTCAGTGTTGGCTGGGATCTCCAATATGGTACTTGTTCCTGATTCTAAGGGTCTGTTCCAAAAATTTCATTGTTAAATATGTTTGTTGTAGGTTTTCTTCTAATTTGGCAGAAGGTTTTATCCATGTCTATGTTAATTTTTCCAAGTCTTTTTCTGGGCAATATGTTTTCTTTTTTGAAAAATTTCTACTGATTCAATCTCTTACATAGTAATCAGACCATATTTTCTATTTCTTTTTGAATAATTTTTGAAAAGTTACATTTTTCTGGGAACCATCTAGTTCAATTATATTTTCCCATTATGATATCTCCTCAATCTCTACAGCATTTGTAATAATGTTCCCATTTTCATTTCTAATATTCTTTGTGTTTGCTTTCTTTCTTGGGTAATCTTGTCAAAGATTTGTCAATATTATTATTAAAAGGTAAAACTTCTGACTTCGTTGCCTCTCTGTATTGAATATTTGCTTTTTGTTTTATTCATTAATTTTATTTCCATTACTCTTTTCCTAATCCCTCAGGTTTAGGACAGATTATTAGATCTATAATTTTTAGTCTTCCCTAATTTAGTATTTAAATTTTTCAATTTCCTTGTAAGTACTGTTTTAGCTACATTCTATAGGTGTTAATATGTAGTATTTCTGTCATTGATCAGTTCTGAATGTGCATTTTCTATTTTTCATTGAGAATCCTATTTGAATTTGATCCAGCTTATATAGGAATGAATTTATTTTCCAAATATATGAGGTTTCCTAGATTTCTGTAAAAATAATTATACTGTGAATAGAAAATGTGATCTAATAATACCAATTCTTTTAAAATTTAAAAGATTTTTTATGATTAAATTTCATAAATGTTTCATATGGACTTAAAATATTTTTTATTTCTACTTTTTGTAATGATGGACTTGGTAATTTAGAATAGTCCTTCTTCTGTAAACAACTAGAAAAGCTGGACATAATATAAAACAAACATCTGACAACATTAGAGAGCTAATGAGGCAGTGGAAAATCCAGAAGAAAAAAAGTTTTTGAATCCAGCATTCATGATAGCTTTTCCTCTGAGGTATCTGATGATTCCTGAGAAGATGCCCAAGAAGCTTGAATAGAGCTTCTGACTAAATCATGGAGTTAAAAAGATGAAAATTGGGAGTTCAGAGTCTGCTCTGGTAAACTCTACAGGCTTCAAGTTGAGATCCCAAAGTTCTATACCCTGGGAAAAAGTATGAACTAGAGGTAGACCTGCTCAGAGTCCAATCATCTCAATCACTGACTCGATTAAAGTGATTTTAGCTTACTAGTGCCCAAAACCCCTGCCAAGAAACATAAATCCTTTCTGCCGAAAATATCATTTTAGATCTCAAAGTATAATTTCTTCCCATACTAGTTCTGGCATTCAATCAAAAATAACAACATAACTTAACAAAATGTTATAAATAAAAATAAACATAAATAAATAAAAGTCACATAAGTAATACAAAATAAAAAATACAACAGAGGCACCTGGCTGGCTCAATCAGAAGAGCATGTGATTCCTGTTCTTGGGGTCGTGAGTTTGAGCCCCACGTTGAGTGTAGAGTACTTAAATAATTAAACTGAAAAAATATATAGGAGACATATAACTAAATGAGACAATACGATAAACAACCACAACAAGAAACAAAGGAGCCTCACATAATAGCAGACCCCATAGTTACTAGACACAGGTTTTAAAATGATTAATGTGTTTGAGAAAATAAAACATCAGACTGTAATAGATAACTGTTAGACAACTGGAAGCCATTAAAATAGAAACAAACAGGGGCGCCTGGGTGGCTCAGTCGTTAAACGTCTGCCTTCGGCTCAGGTCATGATCCCAGGGTCCTGGAATGGAGCCCCGCATCGGGCTCCCTGCTCAGCGGGAAGCCTGCTTCTCCCTCTCCCGCTCCCGCTGCTTGTGTTCCCTCTCTCGCTGTCTCTCTGTCAAATAAATAAATAAAATCTTAAAAAAACAAACAAAAAAAACAAACAGAAATGCCCAAATTCACAACCAAAAAATAACTGAAATAAATGATTCAACAGATAGATTTAACAGGAGATTAGAGACTATTCAAAAGGAAACAGTAAAGTCAAAGAAAGGTAAGAATTATCCAGAATGAACCATGAGAGACAAATGAACGGATACCTAAGGGATAATGTAAAATGATCTAACATACATTTAAGTGGAGTATCAGAAGGAGAGAAAGGGGAAGAATGGGGGAGAAGCAGTATCTAAGAGCTGGGAATTTTCCAAAACAGAATAAGAACATCATACCCAGATTCAACAAGCATTACAAATCTCAAAAAGAAAACCAAGAAAACCCAAAGCATTTAGTTAGATCATAATAAAACTGCTTCAAATTTAAGACAAGCATCTTAAAAGCAGCCAGAGCCAAAAAGATTACTTTTATAGGGACAAAAATAAAACTGAAATTATTTCTCAAAAAAATTATGGAAGCCAGAAGCAATGAATGTATCTTCAAAATGATAAAATAGCTGCTCATTCAGTAAACATGTTCTTTGAAAATGAGGGTGAAATAGATAGTTTCAGGATACAAAAACTGAATTTATCACCAGCAGACATTTACAAAAGGAAATACTAAAGCATGACAGAAGCTCAGAAACTCAAGGAGTCATAAAGCACAAGAGACAAAGGTAAATGGCTGAATAAAGATAAATGCACAGTAACTGTATAAAAATGATGTCTTGAGGAATTTAAGACATTAAGTAAGAGATTAAGTATACATTATGTATATAACATGAAGTGGGGTGGTAAATGAAGTTGATGTGTTCTTAGGTTGTTGTATCATCCAGGAAGAGGTACAATACAAACTACTAAAAGAATATTTAACTCTCAAGCTGATGGGGTGGGAGAAATAAAGTAAAAATTAATCTAAAAGAATGCAAAAAAGGACAAAATCAACATAGGAGAGATAGGACAAATAAAGAGCAAATCATATCTTAATAGATTCAAATTCAACCATATTAGTAACTGTGTTACATGTAAGTAGATTAAATACTTCAATTAAAAAATATTATCAGAGTAGATTTAAAAATATATATATTATTTCATCCCACTCCTCAGGTTAAATGCCTTTCTCATCACACTCCGAATAAAATCCAAATCCTTTCCTGGCTTTCAATGCCAATATAACTTAGCTCTTTCATACCCCTCTAAACTTACTCTTTTCTTAGTCACCATGCTCCAACAGGTAAGCTTCTTTGGTTCCTGAAATATTCCAAATTAGTTCACGCCTTAAGGTTTTGTGTTATTGTCCCCTCTGCAAGCATGATTTCCCCAATTTTTGCAAAGCTGGATTTTCCTGTCAAATAGGAGCTTAAATGGCACTTTCTTAGAAGCTTTCCTTAGTCACCTAATCTAAAATAGTCATCTATTTTAATTTCCTGACTATTACTATCTTATATTTTTATTTATGGTCTATTACCACTAAAAAGTAAATTCCTTCATAGTAAGGACTATGTCTGCTTTATTTACTATTGTTTCTCCAAGTCTAGAACAGTGACTGGGACACAGTACATACTTAATATTTAATGAATGAAAAAAGTTAATTTAGGTTTTAAACAGGTATTTTCTTATGATTTTGTTTGTTTATTGCTCTTGGTGGTGGTTGTTTAAAGACTTTTCTAGTAGCAAAAGGTATCAAATGATACCGGGATCCCATTTATGTATGTTAGTGATCCTTGAAAATGTGCATTGTGTAATTTGTGTAAAATTTGCAGTAGTTATTCTAATTAATTAGGTATGTGGTATGGTCCTAGCTTTAACTATGGTAACATGTAAATAATGGAAGTTTCAGAGGAAGGTTACTGAATTATTAAAGGGTTGCAATATACTTCTGAAGAGCATGTCTGTTTTGTTTTTCCCAAATTAGGAAGATGAGAATTATAGAGAAGTTACAAAGCATAATTTTGGGAAAGAAAGAAAAGAAGCTCCTTTCATCCATTCTTAAATAAAAGGAAATAAATTTTTTAAAATTACACCCTTACAGAAAGGTTTAGAAGGTAATTCTAGGAATGGTGATTGATATATTTGGTTACTTCCTTTTTTACTCTTTGTTTTATGTTTAGGATTTTTTTTTCACATCAAAGCAATCATGCTGGTCACAATTTTGTAGACTGCTCTTTTAACTTGGAAAATAAACTTTTCCATTAGAAAGACTAATCACTTTTAAAAAGTAGCTAAATAATATTCCAATTAAGTATACATGATAGAATTTGACCAATCTCTAATTGCTAACGATTGTTTCTAATTTTTTACCATTATAAGTATTGCTACAACTAACATTTTTGTCCATAAAGCATTTTAAGAGCAATGTAACCAAAGTGATTTTGTCCACAACATTCATTTAAATGGTATTTCTTAAGAAGAAGGAGGTGGTCAACACAAAAAGAAGGTCCCAGCTTTCCAGGCATTTGTGTCTAATTAGGAAAACAATATATATTGGGGAGAAATTACAAAGGCACCATATAAGCACATAATAATCATATTTATTAAAGAAAAGAAAAAGTAATTGAAATTTCTCAGAAGGGGAGTTAATCAGGAAAACATTTTGCAAAGAATATAGAGCTGGCCTTTGAAACAGTGATTAATTAATTAACAGTGTTAATGGTTGAAAATGTTCCAGGTCAGTGTGGGTGTTGAAAGAAGACATAACTTTTTGCTGGTGTTCTAAAGTATTTGAGAACAGTTCTCACTCAGAACATTGCAACTCAAAACAAAGCCCTAATTAGCAACAATACTTTTATCAAAGATTGGACTCCTAATTCCCTTGCAAGACTACTGAATTTCTTCCTAATCTCCATTATGCACATATTTTATTCCCTTTCATAATTTCCCCCTTTCTTTGAATCTCTGTCAAAGACTCTCATCTACTTTAAGGAATGGAAATAGGTAAATCTCTCAACTTCAACACATGGAAACAATACAAAATATTACAATTCTGTGGGATAAAAAGGGGAGATGCTGCCTTCAAACATATATGGTATGCGCTTTAAAAAAATGTTACTTGTAACAGATTTTTCACATTGTAATAGAAATTGGAATATTAAAGGATATTAACCAAGGGTTATTTATCAACTTGTCAAATACCAAATAAGGAACAAAGAACTCCATGATCTATTAAAAATGATAAGCAGAATACTGTGATTTCCTTTCGTGGTTTTACTCTGGCAGGAGTGGGTTCCATCCTGATAATAATTCCAGTCTTACTGTCACATAGGAGGAGATGCTTTGTGAACCTCAATGAGGCTGCCAGGTTTAGGACGGATGTAAGAACCAAAGTGTCTGAAATGAAAGAGTAAGACTTCATAGAATGTGTTGTCACTGACAGACTGATAGCCAGTTTCCTTCTCCACCTTTTCTTCCTCAAGGATAGCAGCTGCTTCCCACAGATACACAAGCAGAACGACTCCAGTCCTTCTCTACCACACTTAGCATCTGCAGATGCCCTGGGTCTTGTCTATTTACAATGTTGTCCCTATACAGCAGAGGTAGAACCCTCAGGGAAGTTCTGGATTGATTCTCAGCAGGTCTGTTTCACAAACTATTTCCCAGCCCCACCCACCTCCAGCTGTTTCCAACGTTAGTACTTGTAATTCCTCTATCTTGTCTGCCACATTACTCATCTCCCCCCAAAAGAAAATTTAAAGTTAAAAACAACTCAAACATTCAGTCTCCAGCCCCCTTTTTAATATAAAGCAATTGCCCTGTGCATGCTGCTTCTGGATAGCTAAGGAGTGACTCCAAGGGTCTTCCGACCATTTATAGATTGGATATCATGCTCTCCAAATACTTTGAGAAGGAGGGTAAAACAACATCCATAGCCACCCCTGCCTGCCCAAACTTAACCTCTTGTGAAGCTTCCTAGTTTAGCTCCCCAATTCCAGCTTTATGACAAAACTAGACAGTGGCAAAAAGAGATCCTATAAATGAAATTGTAGATACAGTCACGTCTTAAGGATCCCCAAATTGTGAGACTAATTTCTGGGTTAAAGGTGTTCTGTATATCCATTTCAATCCTGCCTCCAGTACTGTGACCAAATAAAAAGGCACAGAGTTGAAGGGTACAAATTTTGGGGGAAAAAAACAAAAACAACACAAATTTAAGAGGTACATGGGAGTTTCACTTTTTTCCAGCTTATATATATATATATATATATATATATATATTAAAATAAAAGGAAACCGTACATATTGGAATATTTTCCAACAGGCAGAATTCTCTTCGTTTCTCTGATCTTGGTAGATGTTCTTCTGGTTTCCACTGGTATATATATATGAATAGTGAAGAAACGTCTCAGGATCAAATTCCACCGCCTTGAGGAAGGGAGAGCTTTAGTATGCACTAAAGCAGGTAAAAGAGACGATAGAGGGACAGACAGGTCTGTGGAGATCCGGCAAGTCTCCAAGGACGGTCAGCCTGGAAAAGGAAAAGGTAAAAAAAAAAAAAAAAAAAAGGCGTGGCTCAGCTGAAGCAACTACTGTTGTCCCTGCACGAGCACGGCCTGTGGTTTTTCTCCCTCACTTAATCCTTTGGGGTCGGCTCCCACCCGGTCCATCACCTCCCAGTGAGAGGACGCCCTCCGGCCCGAACCACCCAACCTACCTCCGGATCCTCACAGGCGCTGCAACTTCGCGCCGCCCGCCCACCTACCTGTGCTGCGCCTGCGCCTCCCTCGCGCGCTCTCAAGGTCAGCACCGCCCCAGCTTCTAACCTAGCACCCACGGAAGTGGCATTAGAGGACGTCCTGCGTATCCTCACCTCTGCGTGGCGTGGGGTCGCCGGCGTTCAAGAGAGGGGAGGGACTTCCTGTCCCGCGCGGGCAGAACTTCCGTCAGAGCCGGAAAACTCTCCCTCGCGTTGTTTAAGAGGCTCCTGGCTGCAGGGTGGGGAGGGAAGGTCCAGGACGGTCCCGGGGACTCCAGGGCGTCCGGCCCACGACCTGTCCTTGGCGCCATGGTGAGTCTTCCTGTGAAGGCTGGAGTAACAACAGTGGGAAGTTAGGGGCCAGCAGGTTAGTCCTGTGAAGGTAGCCAGTCGGGTGCCTAGCTGAGGATGAAGCGGGCGAGAGCAATGGGATGAACCACGGGGGCAGGACTCCTCACCTGTCCCGGAGCTCCTGGGCCGCTGAGGAAGCGGCGTCCGTCCTGCCCAACCGCGAAATCTGTCCAGGAGTATGGAGTAGGTAGCCGGAATGTTCGTGGGCCATTCACTGTGTATGGCGTGTGGCGCCAGGTGGTCCCAGAGTTGACCTTTCCGGGTTGATCATCTCCGTCCCTCCCTTTTTCTCAGCTGCTTGGTAGTAGCCAAGAACTTAAGATCTTAGAAATCCCGTCAGCTTTTCCAGGTGGACACAACGGATCCCTTTGTAGAGGATCAGCGCCTGTCACCAAGAGAAAGGGCAAAGCCAGCTTATCTTTAAAACTCAGCCCATTTGTTTGTTTGTTTGTTTTTTAAGTATTTATTTATTTGACAGAGAGATAGAGAGCACAAGTAGACAGAGCAGCAGGCAGGGGGAGAGGGAGAAAGCAGGCTCTCCACTGAGCAGGGAACCTGACGTGGGTCTCGATCCCAGGACCCTGGGATCATGACCTGAGCCGAAGGCAGCCGCTTAACCAACTGAGCCACCCAGGCGCCCCAAAACTCAGCCCACTTGAAATCGGGAAGGGTGTCAAATGAAAAATTCAGACTTAGTAAGGAGAGATTTTATTGGAAAGGAATATTGCAAGGGCTTGGGGAAATAAGAAGAATGCCCTAACCGTAAGATAAGCAAGAGTCTAAAAGGTTAAGCAAAAGGTTTTTCTTTTTATTAGGGAGGAGTAAAGCAATCCTAGAGAGAACCAAGTGTGGGGAAGTGAGATGAAAGGGAAGTACCACTGAACAGTAGATCAGATTGTTTTACCCTCAGGCCAGAGAAGTTTATGCTGCTTCAGACAAGGGTGGGCCAAAATTCGGGAACCTGGGGAAAGAGGATCTTACCCAGAATTTGAGTAACAAATATTTTGTTCCAGTTGATCTATGGGGACATGCCATTCATCCAGTCATTTATGAAGCAAAGGGAATTTGCGAGCTTTGACCTTGTCATAGGTAAACAAGTGGGGCATCTTAGAGTCTTATCTAAGTCCTATGGGGACCCGTGGTTCATTGCAGTAAGCCCTTTCCAGAACACAGAAGGGCGTGGGGGCTATTTCTTAACCTTTGCTGTTTTCCAAGATCACAGGGGTCTGGTAAAGTTCAACATTGTCAATTATTTGATGATATAAAAGATTTCAAATTCTCATCCGGAGGGCAGTGTGTCTTGGAATTTAGCCTCAGTGTACCATGCTTTTTCAGGACCAAATGTTGACATTGTTCAGCTATTGTGTTTGATGTTGGACTTTTGAATGACTTTTAGAAACTTAATGTGAAAGAAAAGAACTTCAAAATAATGTGGTTTCTGGTGCACTCTACCAGCTAACGTAACCTATGACTCTTGGGCAGTGTGTGTGTGTTTAACCTCAGTGAATAATAACACTTTGTATTCATAAAGAGGTTTTTTCTTTTTCCCTTTGGATCAGTGAAATTAGACAAAGACAGGGAATAGACGAATGAGAAGGAGCGAAAGACAATAATTAGCCTAACCACCTCCACCCCCCAATCCTCCCTATTTTACATAAGGAAGAATCTGAGGTCTAGAAATAAGCACTGGTTTATCTAAGGTAACAATAGTTTGGCATAGTCTGGACTAAAACTCAGATCTCCACTTCTTAAATTTAAGCTCTGTTTTTGACTTCTTGGTCTGAAAAGTTGAAGAAAGGTATAATAAAAATCCTTAAAATAGTCACAAAGAAGCCCAGTGTGAATTTATTCCTAGTATTCTGTAATACTAGAAGAACCCATCTCCTGCCATCTCAAAATTGTAATTTTGTTTTAGGTTAAGGAAAACTAATGCTCTTTCTCAAAATGTCACTTAAGAGAATGTCACCTGGAGAATGTCAGCAACTACCAGCCAGGTAGTTGACTCCATTCTGGTATTGCTTACATTTCTGTGTTAACTCCACTGTAGTGTTCCCAGTCATGAAATTGATGTCTGTATATGCAAGTTTGGTCAGTGCTTGGAATACCTCAAAAAAAAGAAAGGGTTTAGCCATTAAATGAAGTGAGGGGTTGAATTTATTTTGAATACAGCTTGGTTAAATTAAGAACCTTTGGACTGGGGTGCCTGGGTGGCTCAGTCAAGTGCTTGCCTTTGGCTCAGGTCAAGATCCCAGGGTCCTGGGATGGAGCCCCGCATTGGGCTCCTTGCTCAGCGGAAAGCCTGCTTCTCTCTCTCCCACTCCCTCAGCTTGTGTTTCCTCTCTCGCTGTGTCTCTCTCTGTCAAATTAAATAAAATCTTAAAAAAAAAAAAAAAAAGAACCTTTGCCCTGCTTGGGCCTAATGATATGCGAGGCATGTAGTACTTGAACTCAGAAGACCCAGATTCTGCCCATTATTTGTTCTTTGAATTTGACAGAATCACTCAACTTGGTAAGGGTTCCAGTTTCCTTTTAGATAAGAGAAGTGGGGCTTGGTGGAGATTAAAACACCTTCTGACTCTCACATTTCTGATTCTGTGACTTCAGGACATTTTTCAGAATAGGTACATGTTTCTGATTAAATAAAATTTAGTCTGATTTCCACTTTTTCTTTTTCTTTTCTTTTCTTTTTTTTTTTTTAAGATTTTATTTATTTGACAGAAAGCACAAGCAGGGGGAGCATTAGGCAGAGGGAGAGGGAGAAGCAGGCTCCTTGCTAAGCAAGGAGCCTGATGTGGGATTCAATCCCAGGACCCCGAGATCATGACCTGAGCCAAAGGCACTCTTTCTCTCAAAGAAATTAATAAATAAACAAAATCTTTAAAATAAATAGAAGTAAAATCAAGGTGTCCCACGGCTTCACTCTCCATTCTGGAGTGGTTGGGCTCTCTGTTCAGCAGGGATTCTGCTTCTCTCTCTCCCTCTGCCTCTTCCCCCTGCCTCATGCTTACACGCATGCTCTTTCTCTCTCAAATAAATAAAATCTTTAAAAAGTAAAATCAAATCAAATCTGTGGGCATAGAGTCATTCATAGTGCTTCTTTATTCTTTTAATGTCCACGGGGTCTGTAGTGATGTCCCCTCTTTCATTTCTGATATTAGTAATTTGTGTTCTCTCTTTTTTCCCTCAGCCTGGAGAGGGGCTTATTGATTTTATTGAATTTCTCAGAGAACCAGTTTTCGGTTTCATTGATTTTCTGTATTGATTTCTTTCCAGTTTTATTGATTTCTGCTCTAATATTTCTTTTGCTTCTGCTTACTTTGGATTTAATCTGCTCTTTTTTTGGTTTCCTAAGGTGGAACTTTAGGTGTTTGATTTTAGATCTTCTTTTCTAATATTTGCATTCAATCCTATAAATTTTCGTTTAAGCACTGCTTTTGCTGCATCCCATAAATTTTGATTAGTTGTATTTTCATTTGATTAAAAATATTTTGAATTTGTCTTGATTTTTTTTTCCTTTTTGACCCTTGTGTTATTTAAAAATGTATTGTTTAGTCTTGACATGTTTTGTGATTTTCCAGTTATCTTTCTGTTACTGATTTCCAGTTTAATTCCATTGTGATCTGAGGGCAGACATTGTATGGTTTCTGTTCTTTTAAATTTGTTAAGGTGTGTTTTATGACCCAGAATGTGATTTTTCTTGGTGAATGAACATGTAGCTTGAGGGATAAATTCTCAGGTTTTATCCATTAGCCATACAGTGGCAGAGATGTGTGTTTCTTCTCAGTTCTCTGACTTTTTCTGTGACTTCTCTTCTTTACTGCTTCTTTCCTAAAGAGGCTTAGCCCAAATAATAGTAGAGACTGTTCAGGGTGCCTGGGTGGCTCTGTTGGTTAAGCATCTGACTCTTGATTTTGGCTCAGGTCATGATCCTGGAGTCCCGGGATCGAGTCCCGGGATCGAGTCCCGCATCGGGCTCCCTGCTCAGCGGGAAGCCTGCTTCTCCCTGTCCCACTCCTCCTGCTTGAGTTCCTTCTCTTGCTTTGTCTCTCTCTGTCAAATAAATATAAAAAATCTTAAAAAAAAAAAAAAAGTAGAGACTGTTCTCTTGGTTAGCATTTGGTGGATCAAGATTAATTCTTAAAGACTAGCTTATACTGTGGACTATGGTCTACTTTTTAAATAATTTAGTTTGCTCTGGAGTAAAAGCATAAAACAAGTTTAGTTGATTTTAGAAAATCAGAAGATATTTGAAAGGGTTCATTTCTAAGAGTATTTTTTATTTTCTTAATATTGTGCTGTGGTTTTGCCCATGTTACTAAGTCAAGCATGAACACAACTTACTGCAAAGAAAGTTTGAAGAAATAAACTTGTCTGTAAATTGTCTTTCTGCTCTTTATGTACCATCTGCCCTTGAGTTAGGGAAAAAAAAATCTTTGAAGTTCTGGTAAAATGAACATTCTCTTGGTTTTAATTGGAATGATAATACTTTTTGTTTCACCAAACATTTAAAAATCATGCTCTTATCTCAAAAGTATTAATCAATCATTCATTATTTATTAAGCACTATCTGTATGTCTGTGTTCTTGGCAACAGGGATATAACTGTGTATTACACAGTGCTGCCGTTGTGGAGCTTATGTTTTTCTGGGAGATTCTGATGATAATCAAATGAGACATAATATATGTAGGTCATGATAAATGCAACAAAGAAAAAGTAGGGTAAGGGATAGAAGATGATTAGGGTGGTTATTTTAGATA